CCAAACAAAATTATTAACACTAGAGGCAAAACATATCAGAAAAGAGAAACCGGGCTTGAACATTCGCGATGAGTTTAGGAGCAGCGACTTAACACTGAAAACTTAGTCCCAAAAAATTTTTGGTTTTTCATTTAAAACGTACATGTCTAAAATGAAATTATGATCCAGAAACTTCCAGACTAGTTAATTTGAAACTGTTTAATTAATTTTAGAGATTTAAAGCATTTTAATTTTAATAGTAATTTTGAGGTCAACTGTGAATGGCTAATTTTTTGACATGATGGTTTAGAACCAAAATGTATGTGAATTATTGTAAGTAACATATGAAAGTTGATGTATTATCGTCATTTAGATTAGTTTATTGTGAAAATCCTGACGATGCACATTGCGAAAACGTTTGAAATTTTACTTTTTAGCAAAAAATTTTTCAAGCTCTTTACATCAAGGGAGATTATACTCTCATCAGATTCCATTCAGTTTTCTCCAAGATCTCCCTGCCAGTTTGAATGTTCGTTTCTATGTTTGCCCCCTCAATTTCATCAAAGTACTTTGCCAATTTTTTATTTAGGTTGTCATATGAGCTACCAGGTAAAGAAAGGACGGTAGGAAGTGGTGTGCATTGTTTATGTACTTTTGCTAATCTATACAGCCTAGCCGGCTGTGCCACCATTGATCTCAACCTAGTATACAGCACTTCGCTAATCTCGTCCTTCCTGTTTAATTAATTTTAGAGGCTTAAAGCATTTTAATTGAGGAGTTAAAATGATTTAAACATTGCTTTTAGCCTAGTTAAAATGCTTTTAGCCTAATTGTTAAGATGAACTTATTAATTAGATTTGTTATGTTTGATGTTTGTGCCTGTATGTGGAGCGCCCTCTGAGGGATTTTAGAGACAAGTCTGTCAAGTGGTTTTCTGTGGGGAGGTGGGAAACTGGAACTGGCTTGAGGAGTCTGGTGGTGAGCCGCTGGACCTACTGAGCTCGGGTGAGATTGTTCCTTGTTTTTGATTTTTATAATTCGATTTTAAAATTTAAATTAATTAAGTTGTCTTTTTTTTATTTGCTGATTTGTAAAATTCCCACTAACCGCTTATCATGGGTTAGTTCAGTCCCCTAAAGTGCAGTCAAAATCCTTTTTTTACCTTTATGCTGCGTTAAGATGAGGAAAAACAACAAAGAGTGTACAAGCAAAGATTGCTTAAAACCTTCAGGACTGATAAATTGGATTAGATGTGATTGTTGTTCTAGTTGGTATCATATCAGTTATGTAAATATTTCTCTTAGCGACTCTAAGAAAACCCAATGGTTTCAGTGTCCTTTATGCGTTGATGTAAAATCTGTTAATAAAGCAACAATAGGTAATGATTTAGTGCTAGACAATTATGTTAATACAGCCATCTCAAATGTCCGAGTACTCAAGAGAGTACCAAAAGACTCGCGTGTTCCCTTGGCGGAAAGTCTGTCGGACAAAATAAATGACATTGTCTACAATGTAGAAGATGTTACAAAATGGCTAATTTTTTTTAACGTCGTTCTTGTTTTTTTTTGGAGCAACCGAAAAGAAGTGGACGCAAACAGACCACAAGCATGAGTTCTTTGATAAATAAAAAAATTCGAGCAAATGACGTGTCACTTCCAAAACCCCATCCCCAAGTTTCAAGCCCGCCTCTGAGTGACCTCGAGCAGAGAATAAAGTTAATAAGTAGTAAGCTCGATGAAGGAAATGTAAAGGGACGAATAAGGCACGCTGCTTCGGATGACAAAATAGCTCCTTTTTCAACTGATAACTATCAAAAAGTGTTGTCTAAGCACCCGCAGCGAGCCAAATTTGCAGCTCCAAATCCAGAAAAGTTGGATAGTTTTTTCGTAACCGATTTCGACCTATACAAAGCGATAATGTCCTTTCCAAACGGATCAGCAGCAGGTCCTGATAAAATAGTTCCTCAAATTTTTAAAGATCTTGTTAGTAAGTCGAATGGCAGTGCAGGACTTATTTTTCTGAAATCGCTTACTAAGCTGATAAACCTCATTGGAGATGGCAAAATACCCGAACCACTAAGACCCTTCTTTTTTGGCGCAAAGCTTATCGCCCTCATAAAGATAGACGGAGGGTTGAGACCGATTGCCATGGGCAGCACGCTGAGACGTATCGCGTCTAAATGCGCTGGAAGCAAGGCCCTGTCCGAGCGACAAAATTTTTTCGGAAACGTACAGGTAGGATGCGGTACCAAACGAGGAGCAGAAATAGCTGCGCACTCGTTTCGAAACCTAATTGAACGCGACGACAATCCAAAATGCACTGTTCTTTTAAAATTAGTTTTTAAGAATGCCTTTAACTCTTAAAACAGAGAAGCAATGCTGAATCATGTTTATTCAAATCGCCCCGAATTGTATAATTACACCCACTGCGCGTATGGTAAACCTAGTTACCTTTTTTACGGAAGCTCTGTCATAATGTCAGAAGACGGAACTCAGCAAGGTGATTCTGAAGCCCCACCCCTTTTTGCGGAAACAATTCATACACTAGTCAAACAGTTGGAGTCGAAAATTAACATCTGATTTTTAGATGATGGGAATTTAGCCAACGACTATAAGGTAGGACTCCGGGACCTTAAAAACATTTTGAAATCGGAACAAATTTACGGCCTGAGCTTAAACACTGAGAAGTGTGAACTTTGTTTTTTGGGACCGACTACCAGTACACAGTATAATTCAATTTTAACACAATTTCGAAAAATATGCCCCAAAATAAAAATAAAAACAAAAGAAGAATTCATTTTAGGATCTCCAATCGGCGAACTTTGCCGAAAAGAATTGCTCGACAAAAAAGTTAAAGAGCTTGAAAAAATCTCGATGTCATTGACAAACTAGACGCCCATTATGGTTTTTACCTCCTGAAAAATTGCTTTAGCATGCCAAAACTCCTATATTTTTTGCGTACGAGCCCTTGATTTTTTGGAACGCTACGATAAATTACTAAGAAATTCGTTATGCAAGGTCACTAACGTGAAAATGGATGATAACCAGTTTTTACAAGCAGTTTTCCCGGCAGCCAAAGGTGGCTTGGGCGTTGCTTCCGCTCGTCTACTCGCTTTACCCGCTTTCTTAGCCTCAGCAGTAGGAGCAAAAGATGCCTTGAGCGAAATCTTTGGTTTGGAGCATGTGAATGGAACCTATGATGATGCGCTTAAACGGTGGTTTGACCTTGGAAAAATTGAAATGGCCCTGGAAAATGAAATCCAAAAAAGTTTGACAGCCAACGGACGTAAAAAGGTTCAACGCGTTCCAAGATAGATTTGGCTCCCAATGGTTGAACGTCATCCCGTGCAAAAATTTAAGGTTAAAACTGTCGAACCAACAACTCAGAATTGCGATAGGACTTCGATTAGGATCGAAAATATGCGAACGGCATAAATGCGTGTGCGGAAAAAGACGTTACCGAGGATGGTTGGCATGGTCTTTCTTGCCTCAAAAGTGCAGGGAGATTCTCTAGGCATTCAAACCTGAATGCCCTTATAAAGCAGAGTCTATCATCTACTCACATTCCGTCTGTTTTTTGAACCACGACTACTCTACAGGACCGATCAGAAGCGACCAGACGGTTTGACGCTCGTTCCATGGGCTGATGGTAAGCAGCTCTTGTGGGATATAACGGTAGTAGACTCCTTAGCTCCTTATAGGACTAATGCCGGGTCTGTTTGTAACCCTGGTACGGCTGCCGCTGAAGCGGAAGAGTCGCTTGGAAGATTTGATTTGCAAGACATTCCATGCTAAATCAAATCATTAAAGAGTCGCTTGGATCAATTCACATTCCTTCAGTCCTAGAACCTCCTGGGTTATGTAGAACCGATGCAAAAAGACCGGATGGCTTGACACTGACTCCATGGATTCGTGGCTCCCCCCTCCTATGGGATGCTACTGTTGTTGACGGATTAGCTCCATCTCGCATCTCTGATCCCCATTTAATTGCTGGTAAAGCTGTATCTGAAGCAGAAATTCTGAAAACGCGCAAATACGACCTCTTATTCGTGACGGCTACGCCTTTCAACCAGTGGCATTTGAAAAACAGGGAGCTTGTGGAAGCGAGACCGAGATCTTCTTGCGTGATTTAGGAAGAAGACTGGCTGAGACTTCTTTCGAACCCCGCGCTTCCTCGTTTTTAAAGCAGAGAATTTCCATAGCTTTGCAAATTGGAAATGCTGCCTCGGTTGTCGGCACACTCAAGGAGTCAGACTGTCTCGAAGACATTTTTTTATCTCTGAACTTGTTATTTTTAGCCTGTAATTTTTGTTTGTTATGTTATACGTTGTTTCAATCTCAACCGTAAATATGTTGCTGTCTGTATATTTTTGTATATTGGTAATTTACTGTTTTTTGAAAAAGCGGAAGAGCGAAAAATTGACAAGTATAAAGATCTTGTAAATTATGGATATCTTTTTCAACCGCTAGCTTTTGAAATTCAGGGCGCGGCCGGCCCCGGAACCCAGAGCAGGCAGCTTTTTAAAACAGAGAATCTCCCTGGCAATACAGATTGCGAAAGCCGCTTACGTACTTGGAACAATAAATGACAAAATAACTTTCGACGAAGTTTTTTTACTTGTAACACTTGTATATTATATTATCTCGTGTCGAGTTGCGTGTTCTTATTGAAGAAACGTAGCCCGTATCGATTTTAATTGAAAAGGACTTAAACACTTGTCATCTTCTTTTATCATTATCACTTCCATATCTAAAAGATTCCAAGGATTTTGACTGGAATACATGATGAAGGGACTCATGACTGTAACCTCGGTTACTATGATACTTTTGACCTTCTGATTTCTTTACCTGGTTGAAAGATCTAGTTTTTTGTTCTTTCTTGAAATTTTTCTCGATTCACATGCATTTTCAGTATGACAAGTGGTGCGAAGATTCGTTTCGCCTCTGTTATGGTTATACTATTGTTAACCAACTGCATATAAGTGATCTTCCTTAAAAAAAGAAGATTAATTGATCTCTTTTTTTTTCAGAGTGACTCAATAGAATTTCCTCTGGGAACCAAAAAGGTTATTTAATCGTCATGTGGCCACCATGAATGCAGTGGAAGCGACTCGGAAACTAGCCGGACAAAGAGCAATCAAAATAGGAATTCAACTGAAATTCCTGGATACTGAAGATAAACCTCGAGTAAAAGAGTTATGCAGAAAGTTCTTCCCTATTGAGTGAGTAACTTCCGTCTTCAGTGAGTAAGTATGTGGATATTCGCCTGAGTTAAGCAACGGTTTTCTCGTGTAACTTTTTTTCGACTTCTGTTTTTTTACCGATTGTACTGCATGGGTTGCGCATAATGCGTGGTTTTTTTTACTGGAATCTCATCTTAAATAAAAGAATTAAGAGCTTAGCTTTAAAAACAACCAAGAGAGGACAGTAAGATAGCAGACATAGGTTCGAATTTGGAGTAATGTTTTAAGTTTTTGATCTGTATTCCAGGAAAACGCTCGTTATAATAGGAATTGACTTTTTCCAACCTAAATTGTATAAATTAGTGATCATTGTGCGTTCAATTTCGCTGGCGAACGATTTAGTTTTTTCTGTATATCCGCTTTATTAGAGGACCTGGTAATGACCATAAGTGCAAGGTCAACTAACTACTGTCGTAACTTGATAACCCACAGGTCAGTGATTCGAATCTTGTAGGCTGCCAATCCCATTAGGTTTTCAAATTCCATTTACTTCATTTCATTTTCCTTTCTTTTCTCGGAATTTTAAAGCTCCCCTTTTTGCGAGTGCTAGACTTTTTTATTTTTATTTTTCTCCTCTCAACGGATATTGTTTGTGAACAAATTTTGCTTGGCTTCAAATAAAATTGTTTTCGATTTGTTTTTTTTTGGTGTATTTTGCTGATCGAGAACTGTTTACACCCGCGAGTTTAGTGTAAGTAGTTGCTAGCTAGAAGTGAAACATAAAGCTACCTTTCTTCAACCTAACTCGCGAATAAAACTTTTTAAAAAACTAAATTACAAAAGGGGCCCTTCCGTTTAGTAACGGTAAGTGCACAAGCTGGATAGGGCCATACCAGCGATATAAAAATGCATATATATCAGCAATGAAGTCATAAATCAGCATTAAATGCATCGTCGTAATGTTAATTTATCTTAGCCGTCCTTCCTCTACAATAGCGCTTATGGAGTTGTCGATAAATTGAACTTTGCGTAGCGATCTGCACCCCCTTATACAAAGTATAGAGCTCCTCAGGAGCGCGAAGCTTATTTTAGTTCTTATGTAGTTTATAGATTCTGGATAGCTTTGTCTTTTTTCACTTAGTTTTTCGGCCCATCGCTGCATCGTCCGCGTGGCTGTTGGAGCAGCGCCACCGGTGCATCCAAAAATTAGCGGGCAGAAGCTACTCTGCTCTACGTTTAAAATTCTTTGCTGATATTTGGAGTTCTTCAGCGTTTCGTGGTATTTGTATGCATCCTTATGCAGTTTTTGCGATGTTTAAGCATGGGGGTTGAAAATTTTCACATCAAAGAAAGCGCGGCTGAATCGTGAACCCCAGAGTCCGTTTGCCTTAATGTCAAGTCGTGCCTCATCTTTAGTTGTGGTTGAATTGTTGACAAAGCTTTCGCCTTGCAACGGCTGAAGTTTCGGCTCAATCTCGACGTTATGGCAAACCTCGTTCATTAGGTTGGCGAATGTGTCTCTAATTTCATTGTGTCTGATGTGTGTGTAACCACCCTTTGCACAGTGAAGCGCATGTGTCAAGTTAAAATCAGCACCACATGCACATGTGAGTGGGGTTTTGGTTGGTTCCCATCCGTATCTTAAGTAAATACCATCTCTGAACTCTGATTTATTCAGGTTGAAGTTGTATCTGCTCAGTGGTAGAGCATTGAGCCACTTAGAGGCTCCCTTTTCAGAGGCCAGGTCGATTGCGTATTTATCTGTTTCATTTAAAGAGTTAATGAGGTTGTTTTTTTTTTCGATTTTTTCTACCAGTTTTCAATTTTTTAATTTTCGTACATATTTTTTCTTGCTGTGTTACTGCTGTAATAGGATCTTGAGATTCCAGTACTAGTGATGTTTCCTTAGACCATTCTAGGTAGCTTTCATGATCGGATGGCAGCTTGATATTAAGTCCGCCCATTTTAAGGGGTAAGGAAGATATCTCACGGAATTGGGGGTTTAAAGTGTCTTTACCGACTAGGTTAGGTAATAATTGTTCTTTGATAATACTTTCACATATTTTCAAGTTTTCCATAATGTTAGGCGTTGTTCTGGCAAGAAATGAAAGCTTTTCTTGAACTCCTTTAGTATAGCAGGCATAAACTTTTTGAGGGGAGGTTTAAGCGATTTTCGTTAGTTTTTTCAAAATTTTGATTTGCTCATTCTGTTGAAATTCCAGGAACTTTTTACATTCAGATTCTGTTCATATAACTGAACCAAGCACTCGGGCTCCTGCCTTTGTAGTGATTCCTGTATTTGCGAAGATTTGCTGAGCTTCACCGAGTTTTTCATCCTTGACAATGAGTTGGCATTTGGATGCTTTCACGTGGTAGCCGAAAAATTTACCCAGTGATATAGTTTTATCGAGGACGGTTCGTAGATTGCTTAATTTACCGACTGCGTTTCCGTCGTCTGCGTACCATTTCTGGGTTACATCGTCTACTGATAAAAGTTTTATAAGGGGTATTACGGCTAGACCGTACATGGCCATTGCTAGTGGATCCCCCTGGGTTGTCCCTTCTTGAGTAGATTGTTTTTTTGTTAACGAATAGTTTAGATGGATTGGAGTAGGAGTTCTTAATCGCTGTTAAAAGGGAAGGGCAGGTATTTTCGATGTTTTTTAATGCCAGCTTTCGGTTCAGCGAGTTGAAAGCGTTTTCGGCATCTATCAGTAGAACAGCATCGGCGGAAGTTTTGCTGTATTGATCTCTTAATGTGTGGATCGCATATTCAATGCCACATTTTTGTCCTAGGCAGAGTTGGTAGTTTGAACCGAGCGACATGAGTTCGTTTTTTAGGCATTTAGTTATTGTTCGCCCTATTATCCTACGCATAACTTCTCCTATGCCTATGGGTCTTACCCCTGGATTCTTATCTAAGGGTATTAATCTGCATGCGTTATATGGTTCCATTAGTTCTGGATTTAGTTCTTCTGTGGCCAATTTTTTGGCAATTTTAGCAATTGTTTTTGAAATTTCAACTGATTGTTGCCCGAAGTGTGTTAGAATACGTCTCCATTCATTTGCATCGAGGCCAGATGGTCCATGCGATCCGTGCGTTCTCATGGCTGCCTTCTTGATATGTTGACCGTTTATCTGATCAAATATCGATGGATGGAAAGGAATTGTTTCGTTTGAGACTGGTGTAATATAGTTCTCATCAATTGGTTTAGATGGTGGGTGTTTCTCTATGAGAGTCTGTTCTACTGTCTTACCTTTGACAATCTCGTCGAGCGAAAGAACGCCTTTAGATGTGTCTGTTAGTTTTGCAATTGCGCTTGATATTTTTCCAGTACTCATTAGTTTGTTGAACTGTTGTTTCAGTTTCAGTTTTTCTTCTACTTCCTTTCAACAAGCGCATTTGTAGCGCCTTTCCTTCCTTATATAGTCCATCCAGGTCTCCGTCTTGCCATTGCTTAAGTCGCCTTGCTATTGTTTTGGATAAAGATCCATCAATTTCGGACTTTGTTTTGCACAGTAATAAGTGTGGAAAAAATCATTGCTGCGTGCATTGCGCAGGTATTTTCGTTGTTTTCCATCAGGCTGTTCAAAGTTCTATTGAGGGTTTCAATGAAGTTATAACCAACTTTATTTTTTGACAAGATCATAAAGACCGGTTTCCAGTGGACCACTTCGGTGTATATTTTCCTGGTGGTTTCTATGAGTTCTGGACAGGGGTTTGACCATGGGTCTTGTATTGCTCTAGGTTCTATAGTGGAAAACTCTCCTGTGTTTTGTGAGTGTGAGGCAGTGGAAGGGTGAGGGTGCATTTGGGGGAGCGTGGTTGTAGCTAGGGTTGGGGGATTGCATTCATGCTTGACGTTAGCTGAATGAAATTGGGAGGTGCAGCGATGACAACTGAAATCGTCATAGTGATCACTGCTGCGGGCTAGGCCGCTGCATTTTACATAAAAGTGCTCATTAAAATGTGCACTTTTATCTTTTAAAAGTGCACATAAGTGTCACCAAACTCGCGAATAAAAGTGCTCATTTGGTGACACTTATGCTATATAAGCACGATCTGAATTATTGGAAGTTTCAGATCATCTGTTCTCTGCTTTAATCGTGGCTAACGTTTGACAATATGTAAGCATGCGTGACTGAGAGGGAAGGAAGTGAGATTCCAAATCTTTGGGTCGCCTATTCGAATCCGACACGTAGCAAAAATTTTACTTATTCGAGGATTATATCCCTTTTTCACTATTTCACTTAATAGAGCGGCTTTTTTGTCGTTTTCGCGCTTGTTTGCCAAGCGTAGCTCCGCCTCTGTGCAATGAAAAGTTTAAGACTACGAATTTTTTATTTTTTTTGTGCAGATTATGTAGCTTGGAAATGATTGGGTTTGGTGTGTGCTTTTTCATCGCAAAAGAGTGCTTCAAAAAAGTGTTCTATCTTTCGCAACGTTTTTTTTTGCTGAAAAATTATATATTTAAAACTAGTGAGATGACTGCCAGCTGTGACTGCTCGGATCCTTTTTTCCCAAGATTTGACATTTTGTTACGGATTCTCGAATTATTTGAAATTCGCAGCCTTACGGTGGGATGCCTTTAGGTTTTTCAGAGGTTGCAGATGTGTCCTTCCAATACGCTTGATCAAATCCTTTTGGTATCAGATATAACGGTTTTTATGTTTTCTTCAAAAGTTTTCAAAAATCTGAAGATAAAAAGAATTGTTCTCCAATTTCATAGTCTCGAACCTATGGCGGGTGATGTCTAGGTGCTTTATCTCGACAGATAAGTTATGGCTTTTGGTAGATTCAAATCTTTGATTCCAATATGACTGATCAAATAATTTTAGTTTTTTTTGCTTCGAATATTTTTTACTGTTGCTTTTAGTGGCATTGCACGTTTTGAGTCTTGTTTTGAATAAACAGACATTTCGGTCTAGCGACTGTTAACCGCAAACGATCTAAGTACAAGAAAATGTTTCCTGATTCATCATTCACGTCTCTCAACTGCGGAAAAACCAAAGCCAGTTATATTGCAGTACATGCACTAGCTCCTTACGCCCGAGAGCAGTTTCGGAACCTATACAGCGGTAAACTTTTTGGGCTGCACGTCGATGAAACAACTTATAATAGAAAATCGCGTTTGGAGTTCTGGATTGTTCATTTTGCGGATGGTACGCGTTTTTGCCGGTACATGACAACAATTGAGCTCGACGTTTCGCTGAATATCGAAGAGTTTCTGAGGAATACGTCGTCGGCGAAAACTTTAGACGACGTTAAGCTTCAAGATGCAAATGCAGTTTTTGCCGCCATCGAAAGCGCGCTTGCTCTTTATCATCTGAGTTTTGACAATTTAGTTTATTTGGCATTGTCAAGCAGTGGAACACTCATAACGAGTTTCAGTTGAACGAGCTTCTCAAGCGGTTTTTGCCATTCCTGAAATGTACACTGACGAGATATTGTTATGTATTGTTCATTCCGTTAACAGATTTCACTGATAAGAAAATCAAACATTTGGACAACTTGTCTATGTATTTGCATTTATCTTGCTCCGCCGTTCTTGACGCTTTCACAGCTTACAAGTTCAGCTGCGACAACCAATCTGCCGATTTGCGCTTTTCGTATCTGACGGGAAAGTTGGACGCGTTCTCAGAACTCCGAACGTTAGTTGAATCTGTTATGATTGTTTGTGGGCACAACATGGTTGTTGAGTCTGGCTTCTCGGCAATGAAAGTGACAGAGACAGAGTATACGAACGCGTTAACTTTCGAGGTTTATGACGCTCTACGAATAATCCAAGAGTTTTGGGACCGGGACAGTTTCGAAACGTATGTTGTACCCGCTGAGTTGCATCAACTAATCAAAGTATCATCGAAAGCTTACAAAGATTTGACGAAATCAAAAAATGTGGCAAACACCAGAAAAAGAGCGTACGCGGACGACCTTAGATCGGAGCTACAGGTGTTCAAGCGCAGAACGCCAGGAGCAGTGCAGAAAGACATCTCTTCTACCAACGATGAGCTCAAAAAAGCAAAAGAGCTGGTCGAGCATCTGGAAAAGAAGAAATCCAAGCTTGAAGCTGACCGCGATTCAGTTGCTGTTTCGTTTGTTAATCAACTGTAAAAAATTAAATTTTGCAGTCATTTGTTTTCAACAGGTTTTAGCGGTGTCTGAAAGTGTCTTTTTTTAAAGCAAAATTTAACTTGGTTACTTTTTGGTATCTTTTTCAGGAATATGAATGAGGTATCTTTTTTATTCCCAACCAAGTGGCCACCCTGGATTTACCCTACCCCTACAGTTGGTAAATTTACTTAACTTGACTTCTATTTCCTTTCTTTTTAATTTGGTTTCGATAAAAAATCTTCGGTCCAAATTGTTTTGGCATATTTTGTATCGGTCTAATAACCTACTTGTGGGTCATTTCATGATTAGCACTTCCCTCCGCACTTTTCAATTTGCTTGTATGTTTACCATTCGGGTTGTTGAAATTTTTTATTATGGAAAATTATTTTCAAACTTTTGTGGAAAAATTTTAGTTTTTCGCAGAAGCTTCTATTGATTTTCAAAAAAGAGTACCAATTGAAAAAGTGCCTGCTCTGTGTCCTTCCATACTCCACTAGAGTTTCTTTTTACTTGAACCCTCTGTCTACAGCCTTTGAAAAAGGTTGTAGGGGAAAATTTGACCCATATTTTTTTTTTCGAAAACCTGAACTCATATCTGAGTTTTAGGTTTCAATGAGCGGCTACAACCAATTTTTTTACACATAAAGTTATGGCCTTCGGAGTAGTCAAGTTTTTGATTTTTGACTGTTTTATGATTTTTTTTGACTTTTCTCCCAGCTCTTAGACCTCTCAAATCTGATTTTGTGGGTTCAATGGAGATAACGGGTTGTGGGAAGCCCCCTGCATTAGCGGCTACTCACAAAGTTTTTTAAAGCAAAAATTAATTGCCCTCGGAAAAGTAGATTTTTTGACAGTTTTTTAAATTTTTTGAATTTTCTCGAAAACTACCTCCCAAATCTGAGATTTTTGGTGCAATCGACTCTAATTGTTGACTGAGTCCCTTCTGCATAAGCGGCTATGCGCTATTTTTTCACAAGAGAAGCTATGATTCTAGGAAATGTCAAATTTTTGATTTGTTGACCGTTTTTTGGACTTTTCTCGCTAACTCTCTTGCCAATTCTGATATAAAAGCTTCAATCGAAACAACAGCTTGTTGAAAGCCTACTTCTATAACTGGCTATGCCTAGTTTGTTAAAGAAATAAGTTTTGGCATTCAAACAAGTCGAAATTTTGGCAGTTTTTTTTAAACTTTTCGACTTTAGGCTAAATCTCAGGTTGTGTTTAATAAAGAAACCCGGTTGTGCGAATCTACACTGCTTAAGCGGCCACAACCTGCTTTTTTGCAGAAGTTTATGGATTTTGGAAATTCTTTTGACCGTTTTTTACACAAGCAAAGCTTGTGATAGTATGAACTCTCATTTTGCCAACCTAAGCCGCAAATTTTAGCGCTCATTTTGAAAGTGTTCTTTTTTGCTGTATGTGCATAAGATCAATAGCTAGTAATGCTAATTCGACATAATTGGCTTGCGTCGCGTAGCAATTCTGTAGACTCACAATTGTCGTGCGTTACTTCAGAAATTATGTAGAATCAAAGTCTTACTCATTCAGTTTTTTCCCCTAAAGGGTCATGTTTTTGCGTGAATGCAAAGTGCAACTTCGCCTCTGTGTAGAAACTTTTTGAAATTTCTTAGAATTTACATAAGCCGAGAATTTTTATCGATTTTTTTTTTATTTATTACGCTGGATTAAACTATTGGTGACAGGAAATGAGATTGGAACGGGCTGTTGAATTTAATTGAACATGATTCCCTTTAAAGTAATTAATGATTTTTAAAAAAATGTGTATTAGTCATGAACTTAGTGACTACTCTTGTTTAGGTCTGATGTAAGCTTGATTTTCCGCTGTTTGATTTTTGATGTTTTTCAAGTTCAGTTCATTAAAGTTGTTAAAAGAAAGAGAAATTTCACTATTGAATAGCAAAAGTGTAAAGTTCACTAAAACATGACCGACTAGTAGTTCGGAAAAGGGAGTTTAATTTTCAGATTTTCCAGAGAAATTGTAGTTCTACTTATTGATCGAGTTTTCTCAAATTGGGGTGCCAATGATAAATTGTTCTAGAAATTCAAAGAGCTTTAAGACCATCTATTTTTTTCTCTGATATTCGATAGTTGAGATTTTTTCGAAAAACAAGTCATTTTTTCTGCTTCCTTGCATTGGCTATATTTTAGAACTTTTTCTTAATTCTAGAAATTGCACCTCTCTTGCATCTTGTTCTTTTGGTTGCAATTAAATATTTTTGGAACCCAGTGCACGGGCGGATCTAGGATTTTCTCGAGGGGGGGGGGACGGATTTTCAAAAAAGTTCGAAAGTTTTGTCAACCTTTTTTTAGGTCGACCAAATTGGTTTTCCGAGCCCTCGTAAAGCAGTACAAAGACCCTGTTTTGGCCAAAATTTCTGCGTCGCAGGTAAAATTTGGAAAAAAAACAGGCCGAAAAAGGCGTTTTTGGGAAAGTTTTGACCAAAAAATCACGTTTTTTCGGTGCGCGCTCCCGCTCAAATTTAGTATAGATTGGCGCCAAAGGCGCCTTTAGAAACATTTCAGGGTTCGTCACCAAAAACGGATATCTCAAAATAGTACAATAGTACGCCCCTGTATTTTCAGGAGATATGACCCTTTTTATTTTTCAAATCGTTCTGTTTATGATGAAATTGGCTGGATATCGATCTATTTCTGAACCATTTTTAACAGATAAAAATTCGTTTGAAGCAATGGAGTGGCTGCAGTTGCACAATAGTTACTCTTATTTGCTAGATCTCAATAGATTCTAGAAAGTAATGGTAAAATTATTAGTGTTTGAGAACAGTTCTATCCTTTTTCTTCTGAAAGCGGTCTGACTGCGAACAGGTAGGTTTTACCGTAAATGTTGTAAAAGTTAGTTATGGTATGTGATTGGATTTAAATATTTACTCCGATCATATTCAAAGATATACAGCGGGAAGCGATATTTTAAATGAACGGGTCGCGCTAGGTTTCTTTTTTCCCCTTTGTGAAGTCTTAGAATCTTGGAATTGAATTTTTCTTCTAGTTAGTCAATTTTTTTGTTTTTCAATACCAGAGCGATCAAGAGCCTCTATTCGGGAATTCGACGTTTTACAGCAAGCGTTTCTAATCACAGTCAAGAGGTCAGGAGGAGGGGTGTGGTGGCGGGGTGGGGCTAGGTGATTTTCAAAAAGTTTCCGAAAATTTTGTCGATCTTTTTAAGCCGACCAAATTGATTTTCCGAGCTCTCTAAAATCACTATAATAGAATCTACTTAATCAAATTTTCTGCGCTGAATAATGTTTCAGAATTTTTGACAAAACAGACCAAAAATGCGTTTTAGGTATTTTCGGAAGGTTTCAACCAATAAATCGCATTTTGGCGCGCTCTCCTATCAAAATTAGTTAGGCATCTTTAGAAAAATGTTGGGATTGGTCGGCCAAAAATAGATGTGTCAAGATAGTATCTAAGGGGATCCTTTGGTTCACCAGGGGGTCGAATCCCCGGGGAAGAAGGCCTCACCCTTGAATTCGCTACTGTTGAGTTCCCTGCTTCCCGGATTTCATTTTGGATTATCGTGGGTCGAAGTGTTGTTGACGGATAATTTACCACGACATAGCCTTTTCTTATACCCTAATTAAGACCATTTATCCACGGATGGATAGGACCAACATACGAGCTGTACAGTTCATCACGGCGAACCGCTGTTTTGCCTATGCTTAAAAATTACATGCAATTTTTTTGGTTATTTTAACCAGTTAGTACTGTTTTAAGTTCTTTTTAACGAGTGCGATTGCAACTGTGAAAAGAGAAGCAGTCTCTTTTTCCTTTTCGGGTAACGACTTAAATTAACCGCGTCTTTGTTGTTTCAGTTACCCTGAAAAGTGGTACAATGACGTGACCTCTGACAAGAAGTATTTTGCTTTGTCTGCAGTGTACAGAGGACTAATAGTGGGGGTCATTATTGCAGAGGTCAAACCTAAAACTGCCCTCAACCCAGATGTAAGTCATTTTTTTAATTTCATAATTTTTTTCGCCTGTTTGTGCTTTCAAGGTTTAAAGCTATTGCCACCTGACATGAAGGAGATATTGAGCATTGCTTTTTTCAGAAAATTATTGAAATTAATCAGTCACATCGGCTTAGAAATATGTCATCAGATTCACAAGCAACGAGTTTTTTTCATCAAATTGTACGTTATTTTTGAGGCGTTATTTTTGGTTGCTCAAGTAAAGCTGCTGATATGCTCAACTTTGCTTGATTCGAATTAAATCACCGCTCCTGTAATAGCTACTGGCATTTCAGTGTGATCGGCAATTCTAGTTATTGGCAATTCAGTTGGTATTGGTCGGTTGGTATTGGTCGGTATTTTTTCAAAAAAAAACTGTTTTGTTGATATGTCAGCTATTTTACTCTCTTGTGATTATGATGCTGTTTTTTAGCCATATTTACATAAGCAAGGCTTGTGTTACAGCATGAACTATCTTTTTTTTCCAACCTAAGTCGCAAATATTGTTGCGACGCAGATATTGTTGCGATAAAATGTGTTCATATTTTTGTTTATGTATGCGAAATGCAACTTCGCCTCTGTGTTGATGTACTTTTTGATGCTTTCGAGTTGTTTTTCAAATTTCTAGCAAAAAGTTGTTCTTTTTCTATTTAAGTTTGAATAATATTCCTTTATAGCTTTTTAAAGTTTTTTTGGAAATATGGTTTTTTAGTCCTGGATTGTTGGTGATAGGTAAATCCTCTTCCTCTGTAAAAAATTTATGGAAATATTTGCCCAGTTTGAAAAAAAAACTGGAGCAAAGCTTTGGTTTTGTCAGACACCAGACTTCCCATAAGTGGGTTTTCTTCACGTCTATTATAAGTAAGCTATTCATGACATCATGACAACTTATTTAAGTTTTTGCCTTCAGGATTGCATGCACTCCTTTTCTCCCAATCTTGGCATATTTAGATGAAAAGTTTTGATGGAAATAAATCTAAAAAAAGATGATTTTTTTCCAAGTTTTTAGAGTCAGTGAACGTAATTCAGACTCTTAAATAGGTCGTGATGATTTTTTTTCTTAGTTTTTTTTGAGGAAAAGTCATAAAATTTGTTCAGGCTCGGTTTTACTTTTTCGCAGTTTGACTTTCGATTTCTATTGAAGTTTAGCTCATTTTCATTGTTAAAACGAAGGCTAACTCCACTATCGAACAGCAAAAATATAAAGGTATTGAAACACGTGATAGAATTCAAATTTCGAAACTAGAATTTAATTTCCAGCGAAATAAAAAAACTTGCCTATCAGGCAATCCAGTCTTTTCAAATTCAGTTTATCTTATTAAAAAAGTCTCAAAATTCAAAGGGTTTCAAAACCATTGTGTTTCAAGACCTTTATTTTAAGGCCATTTTTTTTTGAAGTTTGAAAATTGAGATTTTTTTTCAAAAAACAGGTCAGTATTTTTTTTGTTTACTTGCGTTCATTGGCTCTTTTCCAACTGCTTGCATAATGGCTATGTTTTTGATGATAGGTGGCCGAGAGGAAAGAGAAAGTGTGACCTTGATACTGAAATTAATTACAGTTCTTGTTTTGATTCGATACTTATGTCTTAGAAACGATACGTTCCATTAGCCAAAATTTGAACCAGATTTTTCTCGACATCGACAAAGTTTTCGAAACCTTTCAACAATCCGAATTCAGGCAAATAGGGCTCTGTATGATTCCACAGCTAACTCTTGTGTGCCCTTTCATTAGAAGTAGTTGAAATCAGTCGGAAAAACCACCCTACCCCGTACTTTTTTAAGTCACTTTATTTTTCTGTATTTTTGATTTTTTCTTAAAACTTTGTGGTCGGAACATTCTGTTAATCTTGGACAGCAACGGGTTATCTTTGATACTTTAAAATTATTGGTTGACTTGATTGTTTGAAGTTTGTGATGTGTAATTTAGGACTCGGACATATTGGCGACCAGTTGTCCGGCTGGATCTAAAGTGGCATATCTTCTCAGTCTGGGAGTGGAAGATGAATATCGCGAGAATGGAATAGGTGAGATTGTTCAGTTGCATTTAACAGTAATTTTGCTCTATGGTATCAGTCGAAAACTCATAGGATGCATGTTTATGTTTGTTACTAATTTTTATCAGTCGATGAATGCTTGGTTAAAATAGCTGTGACAGCGAACTGAAGTTTCAACGAACATGACTGAAATTGATTTAGGGCCTCTTTGTTTGGTTCCCTCGTTATGCATTTCGCACCGGATCGAAACCCTTTTTTGCCCAAAAAAATCATGTAATATAACCGACTGCTCAGAATAAAAAGCACAGTTTTTTCACATGTGTTGGCATTTTAAACGACCTTGATCAACAAAATCAGGTATAAAACTTTCGTTTTTGACTTACAAGATTTTTGAAAACGGTTTCACTGTTAAAATTAGTATTAAAATTTGATTTCCGACGTCAAAATTAGCGTGTTTTCCGGCGTTATCGATGCAAATTCGTCGACCGAATACAATTTCCCGACAACTGGGCCGCAACTGTAAAATAGTTCTGCGAGTTCTTCTTCGCTTGAGAGTCTACTTTAATATTTAAGGAGGTTCTCCTGTTCACTTCAGGGGAAGTCAAGGGGGGTAGACAAGGAAGTTGTTGTTTTTTTTCAGGCTCTCTGCTGATGGACAGTCTGATGACGGAGGTGAAGAGTGGAGAGAAGGACTGCATCAAAGCAGTCTACCTGCACGTGCTCTGCGCCAACTCAGGCGCCATCCAGTTCTACGAGAGGAGGGACTTCATACAACACAAACGCATACCAGCATACTACAACATCGACGTCAGTCAATGTCATTGTTCTAGTTCACCTATTTTGAACCAATAACGTCATTAGTTTCCATGCAAATTGTTATTGCATGCACTGTTAAAACAGGCCCCTAGGAACGTTAAATAATGTCGACCTCTGAGTAATAACGGTATGCCCGATGAATCAGAAACCCTTAGAATTTGTCAGCGTTTGTGATTGTTTGTTTTTGTACAGCTGATTTTCATTTACCAGATACTATTAAACCGGAGAGGCTTGCGCGCGTCCTTACTTTTAATATGTCCGAACTATTAATACAGAGGCGTGCGCGCGCTTACTATAAATGTCCTAACTATTAAACCGGAAAGGCTTGCGTGCGTCCTTACTTTTAATATGTCCGAACTATTAATACAGAGGCGTGCGCGCGCTTACTATAAATGTCCTAACTATCAAACCGGAACGGCTTGCGTGCGGGGTATTACTTTAAAGTAAGCCAATTTATTGTTCCGGCTTTCGTTACGAAAATAACGGAATATTTGTGCTCGGGGTGGGTTTTTTTTTCTTCAGACAAATTTCGACTCTTTAACTAGCCATTTTTGACGGAATTTTTAAATATCACTCGAAAGGTATTGTTGTCCTGAGCTCAAATTTGAAATGATATTTCACCTGTGATCATTTTTCCTAAAGTTATGGGGGTTTAAAGATTAGCATTTTGGCCAATTTAGGACAATTAACGCGCGATATATTTCGCGCTATTAACGCGTAAGAGGAGAGTTAATCCGTCTTAGAAATTGTTCCAAATTGGTTGAAAGAAGCTTATTTGCCATAATTGGTTTGTTACAAGGAGCGAAAGCTATCCTTTTGTCCTTTATATGGCGTGTGGGGGGATGATTTTCATAAAAAACTTCAAATTTTAGAATTTTTTTTTTCATTTTTTTACATTCAATTTTTTAATGTTATTACTGCTCCATAAACCTTAAAAGGCAGTCGGAACATTCAGGGCTTTGCCCTGATACGAGCAGTCTTGTTGGTTTTCTGAATGGTGAAAAATGCAGGCCGTTTTCGGTCCTTAGATAGTCTTGCGTTCCTCAAAGGCTCGGTAAAATTTACGACTTTTGAGATAAGTGAAGACGAAATGGATTCGAAATTGGGATGCCAATACTTGCAGGTTTGAAAAAATAATTTGGGCACAAATCGATTGGGGTTTATTGTTTAATACTGCGTAGCCAGTTCCACTGCTGAAATCGCTCAAGTAAAACAGTCTTGGCTGAGTGCTGATATCGTTATCCTTTCCTTTCTACATCCTAAAAATATCGGCGTGAAATTGTTTTGCACGTCGTTAAATTAAAGCCAGAGCTGAAGGATCAAAAGAGTCCAGGCAACGAAGTCCTAGTTATAATCTTTACGCTTGCGATTATCATCGTTTCCGCGTCCAGACAATTCGGCCAAAGAAAAATTCAGCCGATTTGAAATTCAGACAATTCAGCCAAAAGTATGCAGACAATTCAGCCAGAGACAATTCAGCCAATAAAAATGACCGCCGCAGTCGCGCCAACGTGTTGCGAGCTTGTCAACAGAGGGTAGGACTCCATACGAAATTTAGAGTCGGTCATCGCCGCGACGCGCGTAGCGTGCCCACCGGCGACCTTAAACCGAGAAATAACTCCAATTCCGATTTTTTTTCTTTCGAATCTAACGTTATGTAAAACTGGCTGAATTGTCTGTATATTTTTGGCTGAATTTCAAATTGGCCGAATTGTTTGTGCACCCATCGTTTCATCGTTATCAAACCGGAATATAGACTTTTTTCGGGTTAACAACTTGTTTAACAGAAGCACGTGTATCTTGGCTCATAATGAATTCAAACTTCAATGCGTATCCGGCAATTAGCCTGGAGGCGAAGAATACGACTTGGAAGGCAAAGGTTCGCACAAAATGCTATAGTTCCTGGAATATAATATAAAGTTCAAAGTTTTTTCAGGACAAAAAATATGTTTTCGGTTTTACTGGAAATTATTCAAGTTTCGACGGCTCAGTTGCCGCTTGTTATTTTTTTAGTATTCATTATATGCCGTTGATTGTGTTTTTGGACGTTTTTTTCCCGCAAATATAACATAGTTCCAGACAATTTTTTGAATTTTCTAAGTTGTTTTTTTGAAGTATTTCTTTTTGATTTAGTGGCTTTCTTTTCCTGTCTGCTGGCTTGCACTGCTATTTTTATATTGTATCGCAAGAGGTGCGAAGCTCCGCTTCGCCTCTGTGTTAAATGGTTTCGTTAGTAGGTAACATACGGTTGAAATTCCAGTAGAATCAGATTTCGTGATCAGCTGCTTATAAAATTCTTGTCTAATTGTTCCGACCATTGAAAACTCTGTAATTCGGGTGTTTTATTTTTTGAAATTGTTTTCCACGCAAAATTAGGAACCACAAATAATCATCGGAAGGAGTCGAGTGATATATCATATTAAATCGTGATTTGAAAGAGCAATCACTTTCAAACGTGATCCAAAAGATTTCTAAAAGTTTCAAAAATTGTCCCGGTGTCAAGAAAAACTGGTCTCAAATTTTCGATTTTTCGTCTAATTTCGAGCGAATAAGGTGAGCGAACAGGCTTACAATTGCTTAGTTGTGCCTAATCTAGGTCGTGAATTTCAAATTTTACTCGAGTAAATTTCGTTTTGAGTTTTTAGCACCATTTTGAGAATCAAAAATTCAAAAAAGTTTCTGCAAAATTTTTTTTGAAAAGTTCTCCTTTTTTCTACCTTTGCTTAGCTCTCCCTGTTTCTAATCAAGTCTATTCTGAAAAAAATGAGACTAGTCGAGTTTTCCCTACACTTTTTTTGGAGTTTTTTCAAATTAGAAGCCATGGCAGAAAAGGCTTTAATATGATACGTCACTCGAATCCCGTACGAGGTTTCTTTTCCCGTTAAGCTGTCAAAATCAAGAGGCAAAAACACCCTACTTCACAGTTTCTTCCCAACCCGAGGGTCTAACTTGCATTGATGTCTGTTTAGAATAAGGCGGAGGATGGCTTCTGCTACGTGAGATATATCAACGGTGGCCAGCCTCCCTGGTCTGTGGCAGACTACATGCGACAGGTGACGAGTGTGCTGACCAAACTGAACAGCTGCTCCACCACCAGTCACCATCACCACCATCATCACTATGTACAACGCCAGGGTTAGTCGGATTGCTATTTTTCGGTTCCATCCTAGTGAATTGAATTGCCAATTGAATCGGACAAAAGGAGTGCAAGCAGCCTTTCAGAACAGGTCATTGTCGCCTATGCTAGCCTTCAACCATCACTTTCTCGGCGATTAAATTTTTGTTTACAGAATGAATAAAAATCAGCGATATCTTCTTTTTTCCAGCTAACCCTGCACAACGGGAGAAAGACACGAGCTCTAAACCTTGGCCTCTCTCGAAGTCGTCGCAGTCAAAATCAGAATCAGGAAACCAACAGTCCAATCCAAACACGCCCCTCTCTGGATCACCTCCGACCACGAATTCAGTTCAGAGTTACGCAAATGTGGTGCTGAACAAACTGCCTAGACTCCTCCCTACGTCATTTCCACCCAAGATATCTTCGCTTTTCTCCTCATCACAGTCCCAGCCTCAGAAAAGCACAGGAACAAGCGCAACCCAAAATCAGGTCATTACTACTACTACTACTAAGGAACTCTATGATAAAAGTTTTTGCCACTTGATCTGTTATACTGGAGCGAAAGAACAAACAAGATCTGTTCATAATCTTGAAGGGCCGCGGTTGTTGCATTAGATTTAATGACAAATGATATCTCGGTAATGGTCGATGAACGTAGTTCAGACTCTTTTATAGGTCGTTATGATTTTTTTCTGGAAGCTGTAAGTTTGTTCCGGCTCAAAATTCTTTTTTGGCCCGACTATTGAAAATGGGTAGGGTTTTTGTATTCGAGTGCGTGTTAGTTTTATCTTTTTTTCCCACTCAAAATCAGGTACCACATGTAATCATCGGACTGGGTTGAGTGACATATCAATTTAAAGCCCGTTCAGTCGTGATTCGAACATTTAAAAATTTCCCAAAAAGTTGTCACATGAAATTTTTGAGCGAGTAAAGCGATTGAGTAACGATCGTTATTACGCTTATGATTAGCGTTATCAAACAAGAATATAGACTTTTTCGTGTTATAACTTGTTTAACAGAATCATTTGTATCATGGCTCATAAGGAATTCAAACTTCAATGCGTTCCCAGCCATTTTAGCCTGGAGATAACGAATATGCCTTGGACGGCAAAGGTCCTGGGTTCGAATCTGACCAGGACCTGTTTTTTTTTTCAAACGTGAAATATTCTTTTTCAAATAAAATTGTCGGCCGATTATTTGTCTGCTTATCTGTTGCGGGCTTAGCTGCCGCATCTTGGAATCGTTTTTTGATGTGCGCATTTTTTTAATGTTGCTGACTTCGTATTTCCTTCTTTGTTGTTCTAAATCGCAGAAAAGTTTCCTCGGCCCAAATTATTTCGGCCTATTTATTATCGGCTTCATGACCTAGTTTTTGGTCATATTAAGGGAAACACAATTTCAACTCTCCCCTCTGCTCTTTTCAAGTTGATTGTATGTTTACCAATCGGTTTGTTGAAGTTGCTTTTTGTTTCGTTATGAAAAATTATTTTCAAACTTATTGAACTTATTATTCAAAAAAACGGGTATCAATTGAGAGACCGCCTACTCACATGTGAGCCTGAATACTCCCCTAGAGCCTCTTTTTACGTCACCTCTCTGTCTACAGCCTTCGAAAAAGTCTGTGGGGGAGTATTTGACTCATATTTTTGTGGGTGAATATTTGACCCGTTTTTTTTTCTTTTCTCGAAAACTACTATCAAATCTGAGTTTTTGTTTTCATTGAATAAAGCGGTTTTGAAAAGCTCCCTCCCTATTTATCTACGCCCAAATTTTTGTATACAAAGTTACAGCCCTCGGAACATTCAAATTTTTGATTGATTTTTGACCGTTTTGTGATTTTTTTTCGAAAACCAACCTCTCAAATCTGATATTGAGGGATCAATGGGAGTCTCCCTTGCATTAGCGCTCACTCGCAAAAGTTTTTTTACACAAAAAGTTATTGCTCTCGGAAAAGTCAAAGTTCTGATTTTTTGAACCGTTTTGTAATCTTTTTATAACTCTGTCATATATGAGATTTTGGGTTCAATTCAAAGAACGGGTTGTAAGAAGCTCATTTGCTTCTACGGCTAAGCGCAAATTTTTCTGACACCATAAGTTATGGCTCTCGGTATTTTTCGACCGTCTTTTTGAAAGTTTTTTTTTCTCGAAAACTACCCTCCCAAATCTAACATTTTGGTGTTCAACCGAAATTACGGGTTGTGTGAGTTCCTTTTGCATAAGCAGCTACGCCCTATTTTCAAAAAAATTATGGTTCTTAGAAAGTCTTTCGATCGTTTCTTAGAACCTTTGACCATTTTTTAAAAAATGTTCGAATATTCTAAATTTTTACTCAATCAGATCTGTGATGAAAAGTTCAATTGAAAAAACCGGTTGCGATAAGTTTTATGCTCTTCTCACTTATTTTAAAAGAGAAACAACTATGGTTTTGGGCAAAGTCCAGTTTTTTGAAATCATATTTTGCGTGCTGCATCAGTTAGCAAATTCATTCAATATCAAATACGTACCTCCAGCTTTTGCTGGGCACTTAATTGTTTTTTTTTATCAAGACATGAAAAAAAAATTGGTTCACCTAGTTTTTTTCAGCATTTAAATTTTTTCGTCTGATGTTTTTTCTATGTTTGTGTTGTATCGCAAGTGGTACCTTTATGCTAAAAAACTTAAATTTATTGGGAAAAAACTAGTTTTTAGCGTTTGTATAATTCTCAAATCGCACCCCGCGCTAAAAACGGCTCTAAGTGCAGAAATAAAAATGTTAATCATTGATCGAGATTTCTCAAATTGGGTTAATTTTATCACAGAAAGATCAAACATAAATTGTTCGGGAAATGAAAAGAGCTTTAAAATTCGCAATTTGAAGTTTTTTCTAAAAATCAGTTTTTTTTCGGTTTCTTTTCATTCATTACACTTTTCCAACTGTCTGTTGGCTATATTTCTAACTTTCTATTGGCTTTGTTTAGCTCTTTTAGTCTAGACTGATGTCTTAAAATGATGTGTTAATTTGCAGAAAGGAGCCGAGACAAGCATGAAAGGACGTTCAGTAGTTGCTAGTGACAGCGAATCTTTAGAAGACATAGTCGAAAACAGAGACGGCGAAAAACTCACATCGGCAACGGGGGCAAAATTCTTATCTGTTCCTAATTTTCAAGATACCCCTGTAGACACCAGTGACTTGGAAAGACTTTCTTTATTAGACAAAGAAGCATCAGTTGAAAGTTTAACTGAGTTATCGCCTCGTGTTTCTTTACTCTCAGCTACGAGTTCAAGTGAGGAGTTCCACGATAGCTTGTCATCTTTATCACAACTTCACCTACCGATGTCAATGCCTCCGTTCTACACAGATGATAGCGCCGAAGAGGATGAAACGTGTGAAAAAATAACTAGATCACCTTTACCACAGGGTCCAGAATTGTTGAGTCCTCTGGAAGACCTTGATTTAGCAGAACAAATGTCGGATCATATAGAAGAAGCAGACTGTCCTGATCCCGAATTCATAGAAGCGCAGCCTAGAAAACATCCAGGAAACAGGCTGATAGCTAACGCCATGAATCCAGTTAATTCACTCATTGCCTCAACAATGAATCAGAAACGCAGACTAAGAGCCTCGTTTAGTCCTATGAGTAGAAATCAAAGTGGAGATCACAAAAGTTGTCTCAATTCTCTAGGAAATAAGCAGAATAAACATTCTCATTATGCAGTCGAGAAACTGCAACAGATGTCGACTAGAGTATCAAGTACGCGAAAAGCGGTGAAGATGAAGAGCGCATTGACTAAAGGACTGGCAAGGATCAAACCAGTATCTCCAAGTAATTTCTTAGATGACGAGCAGGTATTACAAAGTCGCTCGAACTCGGGAAGTGATCAGGATACTTCGTGGAACGCCGATACTGAAGTTAATACATAACGAGTGTTAAACTAATTAACAAAACTATAGAACAGATAGTTTGAACTGCATACTTAAACTTGCTTTAGTTTAAAATGATAATTAATTAAATTAATTATACGAGCGCGATGGTTGGAGAACAAGCGATTGTATTCAAATAACATCGGTTTTTACTGGTAAAGTAACAAGTTTTGATGATTTTAAAAGACTGATTTTTGCGTCAGCTTAATCGAACGGTCTCAAAGAAGCGACAGTTGTTTTCTTTTTGACTGAAGGTTTCCGACCTGCAAGTTATCAGTTTAAAACTCATTTCCCAATAAACGATTTTCTATAATTCTGCAACAGAAAATCGTTGAGAGAAATTTGTTTTTATTTCATGGAGTTCCTTAACCGTCTAGGTTTGAAGTTTAAGATCAGCTAGGGTGCTGCAACCGGGTACTAGGTTTTTCCCCGTCAATAACTTTGTTCACAGAATGGTTAATTGTGGAGGAATGGTTAACTTCACGTGCAGACTGCTGACATAATCATTTTCTCGAAATTTTAAATTAACGATGATCATTTAGGTCGAAACTGAATTTTTTTCCAAATTGTGGTTTTCGTCCAAGTTTCCGTCGAATCTTTTTCTGCTTTTGAAAATTAATATATCACCTGGAAGGCAGTTTTTTGGCTTGCTTTGCAATGCATGGGTTTTTTATTTGAACAGGTTTTGATATAATTGAGAGTTACGTAATGTGAAAATTTTGTGATTTCTTTGTTTTTCCATTTTTTGCCAATAAAAAGATATTAGCTCATGTTATCTCGATTTAGTCAAATTATACTGTGTACTCTCAAGGGCAAAATTTTTTTGTTTGATAAAACAGGTCTCATGAAAATGTATGGGATCAGTTTTTTTTTAAATTTTTTTGAGACGCTTTCTCAAAAACTAGTTAACCAAGTTTTACACAAGAAAATCTTGCGTTATAAAATGAACTATCTTTTTTTCCATTCAATATTGTTGCGAGAAAATGTGTTTATTTTGAAAAGGTTCATTTTGATCTATAACCAGCTATCAAGTACTGCCAATGCTAAGGATATTAACGCAGATTTTTATTTATACTTTAGCTTCAATGTATCATTGATCTCTAGCATAGAGGTAGAAAAGGAGACCCGCAAAAAGTAAGAGGGTTCGAAACTCCGTAGGGTCGAATGTTTTTAATGATTTTTTCGTATGCTAGTTAAAATGCGCCCGCTCTATAAATTGAGGCATGTTCTTTGGCATTTTTTTTAAAATTGACTGGTACTGCTATTCGGTCATGATTGGCTTGCGTCACTCAGCAATTATGTGCTCATAATTGGCGTGCGTCACTTAAGAAATTTTGTAGACTCAAAGTTCGGTTTTTCCCAGTAGCGTTATCGATCATATTATTGGTTGTGTATGCGAAGAGTGTCGGAAAAATGGTATCATTGGGAAGTACTTTCCTGACCCTGTGTGTCTGCATCCTCCGCTAACCTCTTTTTACCTTTCCACAGTTTCTACAGCCTTCGAAACAAAATGTGAGCTCAATTTGTAAACTTTGAAATTACCCATTTCATCCCGCATCAGTACAACAAAGTCAAAAAATCAAACAAGTACCTCCAGTTTTAGCTGGGACTCTAATCTAATCCCTATTCTTATGAGATAACTGATAACAAAAGTTTAAAACTTAGTTTTTTTTGTGACTACACTTTTGTGTTCGGCTCAACAGGGGTCGACACAAATTTTTGCGCGTTAGTCGCCGCTCGGTAATTGAAGCTCAAGGCTTTGTAAGGCTATTAATGAACATCATGCAATACGGACGTGAACATTTTCTTATCATAGTTTCGACCTTTTGAGGCTAATTTTTGCATTTTTTCAGTAAACAATTGAGTTCTGTCTCTTTTTGTATTACCGATCTTGTAACGCTTTGCTTTTGTCGTTTCAAAGTTTCGCAACAATCGTTTTAGGAGGTGAAAGAGTTTTCCAAAAAACTCATTTTTAAGGTCAATTTTTTGCACTGAAGTTGATCAATTGTCAGCGAATGTGCAGAGAATCTTCAGTGACAAAAAGTGCCAATGATGCTTCATTTTTAAAATTCAAAAAACTCCATGTTTCTTCAAAATTGGCGCTTAAAAAATGATCATTTTTTGTTTTGCACAGTTCAAAGATAATTATTCAGAAATCTGAGATAGCAGCTCCAAAACTGAAAAGCGAATGTCTCATTTCGAAAAGCAAACTTTTCGTCCCATTTTTTCAAAAAAAATACTTCAGTGTTTTTTCTTCATTTTCAGTATCTACGCATGCTCTAATTCAAATAATGTGTTTAGATGTCAATGAACGCAGCAAAGGCATTTACGTTGCAATGATTGTTTTTTTTCGGGAGGGAAGCCCTAAACTTTTTTTAAACAAAAATGCATTCTTATATGCAGATAACACACTTATTTATTTCGAGTGATTTTTTCCTACGCTCAAATCAAATTCGTAAACTATGCTCGAAATTCGGAAATCTTTATGGTGATGCAATTTGTATCAGAAATTTGAGAGCATAAAAAAATAGTTAATATTTCGGGTTTCTTCGAGTTCAATGACACTTTTCCGGCTAAAGAGAATTCAACTGTGGGGGACCACGGTATCGAAACCCGTATACAGCAATCTCATTTTAAATTTTTCTTAGATTTATGGCTCACTTTTGTCCTTTCGTGTGTCCGTGAAAATCAAATTTGCCTGTGTATATGTTTGTATTAGATTTGGAAACTAATTTCATCCACATTAAGCCATCAATGGATTAATTCAGTTGGTGCAAAATCTTCTGTTTGATACGCTCAAAGCAACTCAAAATCAACAGTCAAAGCTTTGGAGCGTGGATAGCATTACGTTTGTGTGGAATGGGAGCAGTTGGAGTATCAATGAAAGGTTTATTTTTATTTGATTTGATTTCAGATTGTAAAAATTTGTAATTCTAATATCTTATCAGGTTTTTGATTTTGTTGAGCCAAGCCTTTGTAATAATGTGTTCGGGAACTAAATTGATGCAAAAATTAAGGTAACACCAAATCTTTTAAGTGGAAAAAAGCAATAAACGTAGAAAAATATTTGTGTTTCAAACTTTATTTGGGAGTTTTGAGCGAGACGATAGGTCCTATTTGCAAACTCAAAGCGTAGCAGAAATTTTGATCCAAGATAAGGAAGCATGGTAGTCTCACGAAAGTAGCTCTTAGATTTGTATTTATCGGAACTTATTTATTTTTTTTTACCAAAACATCTGCAAAACTGGCAATCTTGTAGCTAAGTTAGTTGGTTGCTGTGCACATACCACAGAAAATTCCTGCCTCAAAACTAAAAATAAACACTTGAAAAAGTCTTTATTTTTTTTCCAATTGCGTCAATTCTTACTCGTGGTGTTATGAAGAGAAGATCTGAAAAAAAACCCTGGAATGATGAAAATGACAAGTTACAGGGCTTTAATATAATCTTTCCACCAACTCCTTCCGTTAACTATTGGTGCACCTATTCTGTGGAGAAACAACATTACGAGGCCAAACTATGAGTGTTCTCGCAAATTATTATCGGATTCCGCAACCAAGGACGCTCCCTTTGTTCTTCTTCTGTTCTTGCGTTCTCCTTAATCGTTCCGACAAATTTGTGCGCCTAAACAGTGCACGGTTTGCCCGCGTAATGAAATTTAAAAAAAAATAACAAAGAAACTAAGTTCAAAGTTCCTCCCTTGTTTCAGTGATCGGAGTTATACCTAATTCCGGGTTGACCTACATACACCGAAAATGCTTATCATACAATTCCATACATCAAGTGCGTGGAAAAATGCTTGTCATAAAATTTTCATTCAATTTCTAAAAATGGTTGAAAAAAGATAAAAACTTATTTCTGGATTTTTTTGTTTAATTTTTTGTGCGCATAACATAGCCCTGGATACACAAAACTTATACTTTTTGCCGTTTTTTCTTGATAACTTGTTTTCATAAACGTTCAAAATTTCTGCTAAGTCTGTATGTCATGTTTTTGCATGCCTAGATCAAAGCATGAATAAATCAAAATTCAAACCTGCAACATATCATCTTTGAAAATGTTTAAAATTTAAAAGTTTGTTACTTTCCTTATATCATTAGTGAGAGGCAGTCGTAGTACAGTTCAGGTTGTTTTGTATGCAATATAAATGCAAGAACGTCTAACTTTTGGTGCTTTGAGTAAGCCAAGGTATTTGTCACTTGCAGAAATTAAACTTAGAAAAAAAATCAACTTTCTGGTTAATGGAAAAATACTTGCCATGCAATTTTCATATATGAAAAATTGCTTATTCTGGAGAATTCTTACAATTTTCTGTATGTATGGCATTGTATAGAATTGTATGGTAAGATATTTTTGATATATGGAAATTGTATGATAAGAAATTTTGGTTAACCCGGGTTGGCAACTTTTAGCGACGAGATTAAAATTTCTTCAATTAACCAGGTCCATTTCGGTAACCTTAAAATGTCTGCTTTCGGCAATTTCGCATTTTTACAATAGATGTAGTGGCACGTTTTCTTAACTGGCGATAGTGTTGAAGGTTGAACACCAGTGCCAGTTAACGAAGCGAAAACATTATTTTACCCCAAATGTTTGCATTGCAAGTTGTGCATTGAAGGTCAAGGTCGGCAGTTTAATCTGTTCTTCGATTTTACTAAAAAATTGATCCTTTTTTTCGTTTTGCTTGTTCTCTTACATGTTTCGGTTTTCTGTTGGCTATGTTCTTCTTTAAATAAAAGCGGAAACAATTATTTCAAGGTTGGGTTCAACAAATGTTTTTGTTTTGGCAGTTTCTTAATTGACAATTGATTTTCCTCAAAACAGCAATCACTGAAACAAAACAGCAATGATGCACTAATTTTTTTCAAAAACAACTGCGTGAAAGCACTGAATGATAAAAAACCTAACCTGTTGGTTGGATAATTGTAATTAAGAAAAAATTGCGTTTTAATATTCAAAACGAAAGAGAAAAAATTTTCTCTATAAATAAAGTTTTTTCAAATTATGACATGCTTTGTTTGTTTGAAGAAGATAAAGAAGTTGTTCAACTTTTTGATTAAAACCGTTTCTTTGCCAAAATTTGAATTACATTCATTTTTTTGGCCTTTGGGCTTCGTGGTTCTA